GGTAAATGTAATATTATACTTTTTCAACTATGTTAATGACCAAAATAGTTACTTTTATAAATTTACATTTATAAATACATTGTAGCCAAATGATATAACTAATCAAGTAGAAAATTTTGAGTCAATATCAGAAGCACATGTTCAAACAGTTACAAACAAAATGACCTTGTTTAACTTATTGCATAAATGCTTTGGTTGGGAGTTTTATTCTGTTGGAATATTAAAATTTATCACCGACTCTACTTCATTTATGGGACCATTAATACTGAGCAAATTAATCGGTTTTATTGAAGACAAAAATGAACCTATCTTATATGGATACCTATATGCATCATTAATATTTATAAGTGCTTTAATAGGTAGGTATTCATAAAACTGACTAATCCTTGAATAAGGAATATGTTTGCTGGAGGCCCTAACGATTTTCTTATTTTAGGAGCATTTTGTAATACTCATTTCACCTTCTGGATGTCAGTAGTTGGTTTAAAAATTCGTTGTACAGTTGTAACTTTGTTATATAGAAAGATTTTGCACTCTTCAAATATCCAATTGAAGCAGCAATTTAATTTTGGTGAAATTGCTAATTTTATGAGTACGGATAGTGATAGACTTGTTAACAGTTGTGCAAGTTTTCATGCATTTTGGAGTATACCATTACAAGTAATTTCTTATTTTATTTTATAGCTCTATTAAAAATCGATTTATGAGCACTTAATATACTTCTATATTTATATGTTTTTCAGTTAATTGTAACATTATATCTTCTATACAAGCTAATAGGAGTTTCATTCTTAGCTGGAATTGTTTTTGCAATAATACTTATACCTATAAATAAAGCGATAGCAACTCAAATTGGAAAATATAGCACGAAATTAATGGAATGTAAAGATCAAAGGGTGAGACTTGTAGGAGAAACATTACGTGGAATAACTACGATTAAATTAAATGTGTGGGAAGACCATTTTTTGCGCAATATATCAAGTTAGTGAATCTTCAGAAATACGAATTTGTCTTTTTATCATTCTCTCATTTTCGTACATGATATTTTATGTTTTCGTTTTTTTTATACAGAATTGCGTGAAAATGAGATTAAATATTTACGGGGTAGAAAATATCTAGATGCTTTATGTGTTTACTTTTGGGCTACAACACCTGTATTGATATCTATATTAACATTTGCTACGTATGTACTCCTTGGACATGAACTTGATGCAAAGACAGTATTTACTAGTATGGCATTATTGAACATGTTAATAGCTCCACTAAATGCATTTCCATGGGTTTTGAATGGTCTTACAGAAGCTTGGGTATCACTTAAGAGAATTCAGAAAATGTTAGATGTGAGTTAAGGTTGCAGTTTAGTTGCGTTTTATAGGCTTAAAATTGATTAAAAAATATTAATTAAGTTCAACTTAATATAGTTACCAGATGCGGATATGTCATCATATTATTCAAAACCACCGCCTGGAATAGATCTAGTGCTTCAGGATACAATGTTTAGCATAAACACAGATCAAAATATAGAACAAAATGGTCTTACTACTCCTAAAGATGTCACAAGCCCATCTGGTAGTTCAGAGTCTAGAAAGATTGTTACCTTTGAAGATGATGCTATTTTTAGTCTACATGACATTAATATTACTGTTCCAAAGGTAATAACATTGCAATCTATTTTAATTGAATTAAATTTTATGAATTGTGTACTTTGTTCTAGGGACACTTAATTGGTATTATAGGAGAAGTAGGTAGCGGAAAATCACTACTTTTAGATGGTATTTTAGGTGAAATTATTAAAGTCCGTGGTACGATAGCTGTAAATGACATCGAAAACGGTTTTGCGTATGTAAAACAAAATCCGTGGTTGCAACGTGGTACAATTCGAGACAACATTCTTTTTGGGAAATCATATGATTACAATAAATATAAGTAAGTATTGATGAATTGTATTTGAGAAAAAATATTGCAGTATTCGTAATTTAAGTAAATTATTTATAACAGGAATATTTTGAAAGCATGTGCTCTCAGTGCTGATTTAAATTCCTTGCCTAAGAAAGATCTAACACCTATTGGTGAGGCAGGAAACACGTTAAGTGGAGGTCAAAAGACAAGAATTTCTTTGGCACGTGCTGTTTATGCGGATAAAGATATTTATTTATTAGACGATGTTTTGGCGACTTTAGATCCAAAAGTTGCTAGTTATATATTTAAACGTGTTATTATGGGTTTACTGAATAACAAAACAAGATTGTTATGTACTCATCAAACTCGATATTTAATGTATGCAAATTTAGTAATAGAAATGTCAAAAGGCAGAATCATAAATCAGGGTAAACCAAGTGACATGTTACCTGATATAGAAGATTACTTATTATCTTCAGAGTCTATAGAGCCAGACTTAGACAGCATATCCATAAATGATTTACCAAGAGAACTATATCAAACTGATAAAAACAAAAAGGATCCCTTGCTTGATGAAGAATATAAAGAAAAAGGCAAAGTTCAACTTGGTGTATATAATTGTTACATAAAAGCAATAGGATATTATTTAGCAATTTCAATAATGCTCTCTATGTTCCTAATGCAAAGTTCCAAAAACGTCACGGATTTATGGCTTTCTTATTGGGTTACTCACAGTAACAAAAGTGTAACTAATATCACAGATAGCTCACCAACTTTACGATTAAATCATGTCTTTGACAATTATAATATAAGCACTAATTATTATTTAACGGTATATTCGCTATTAGCTGTATTTAACACATTATTCACATTAATGAGAGCATTTATGTTTGCATATGGTGGAATTCAAGCAGCAATTTCTATACACAAACAACTTTTAAAGGTTGTAGTACGGGTATGTAAGCTTCATAAAAAATACCTAATATCATGCTAAAATATATAGCCCGAATAACATAGGATATTTCCTTAGGCTAAAGCTGTATTTTTTGATATTCAACCATTTGGAAGAATTCTAAATAGGTTTTCGTCCGACACATATACAGTCGATGATAGTCTTCCTTTCATCGCTAATATATTATTCGCTCAGCTATTTGGATTGATTGCAACAGTTATTGTCATAGCCTATGGAATACCGTGGATACTTTTGGTACTGGCGCCATTGATACCGATTTATCATTGGATTCAAAATCATTATAGGTGTGTTGCTTGAAACATTACGCGAATGTGTCTCGAATCACATGTTATTTTATTAAAATTTTTAGATTAACATCGAGAGAATTGAAGCGCTTATCTAGTGCCGCACTTTCACCATTATATGCACATTTTAATGAAACTCTACATGGACTATCTACCATTAGAGCTTTTCGCATGGTATCTCGCTTCAAACAAGCAAACGAACTCTTGTTAGAAATCAGTCAAAAAACGCAGTTTGCGTCGTTTGCAGTAAGCCAGTGGCTTGCATTAAGATTACAACTCATTGGAGTAGCACTTTTAGCAGGAGTGAGCAATATAGCAGTTTTACAACATCAATATGACATTGCGGACCCTGGTTTAATAGGTCTTATTATTACTTACACATTGTCCGTGACTGGGCTGCTATCTGGCGTAGTAAACGCATTTGTTGAAACGGAGAGGGAAATGATCGCGGTTGAACGTGTAAAACAGTATTTAGAGAATGTTCCAGTAGAAACTGCGAAAGGAGAAAATCCACCATATGCTTGGCCGAGTCAAGGTGTAATTGAATTTAGGAACGTCGTTTTAAAATATAGGTAATTAACACAACTAATTAAATGCTATTATTCAGTATTATAATCGATGTTTAAACCATGCAGAGAGCATTTAGTGCCATCATTGAATGGCATATCGTTTGTTACGAGGCCAGCAGAAAAAATTGGAATTGTTGGTCGTACAGGTGCTGGTAAAAGTTCCCTGTTTGCTTCATTATTTAGATTGACGGAAGTAACTTCCGGGAGCATATTGATCGATAACGTGAACATACGAACTTTACAACTAAATGCAATAAGGTAAGTTGCGTCAAACTAGTTACCCAATTTAAGAAATGATTAATTTATCAGTATAGACAACTAAGAGTTTAAATCATTTCAGATCTCGATTAGCTATCATACCTCAAAATCCATTTTTATTTTCGGGTACGATACGAGAAAATCTTGATCCGCTAAATCAATATCCAGACTTACAAATATATAAAGCTCTCGAGAAATGCAAAATTCATTCGTTGGTACATCGTTTAGGGGGTCTTGGTGCTATTTTAAATGAAAGTGGTAGCAATTTTAGTGCAGGACAAAGGCAATTGTTGTGTTTAGTCAGAGCAATTTTACATAACGCTAAGGTATTATCAAGTTTTTAAATTGGAAATACAAGATAATTTATTTTATATAATATTTAATTATTAATCTATTCTTATAGATCGTCTGTATCGATGAAGCTACGGCAAACGTTGATCAAGAAACAGACAAGTTTATTCAAGCGACAATAAAGTCTTCCTTCCAGACCGCTACAGTACTCACTATAGCGCATAGGATAAGGACGATCATGTACTGTGATAGGTATGTTAGTTTTACAGTTTACTCTAAACGCGTATGTTTGATACGTATCTTTTTTTATTTTAGAGTTCTTGTAATGGGAGATGGCGAAGTTTTAGAATTTGAAGAACCGAATTTATTGATTCAAAATGTTAATTCCCATTTCTATCATTTAGTAAGCCAAGAATTTTCTGATAAGGAATGAACGTTCTAAGACTAGATATGTTCCATCCAAATATATTTATTTTTTCTTACGCAACGAACTTTTTACAAGTACGTAGTCTTATAATGTGACATGGTATTAGTTATTTTTACTGCATATAGCATAACGCACCTTGTACATCATCGGTAAGAAATTTGTATTTTGTCCTATCATAATTATTAAATAAATCGTAATTATTTTCGTACGAATATAATCTATAAGACTATAAATAATGTGCTAATTTAGTAAACGTATTAGGAGATTACGATACAAGACAAATATTTGATTTTTTATTGTTTTATACTTAAGATATTTGTACTAAGTCAGACTACCTCTTATGTTGTCGGTAATATACGTAAAAATTCATAAAAATCGATATATCCTTTTCTGTAACGATCTAATTCTTTGAACATCGTTTGCCATATTGTCGGTAATACTTTCAAGTTGACAGACTTGCTTGCAGAATAAAAGTCATCCAATATTAAATATCCTTTATCTACAACAGAGGCTCCTTGATGTCATTGAAAACTCTATTGTTAACAATACCTACGATCCTTATCCAGTAAAGCGAATAATAAATCTGCATTAACGTATGAGTCGTCCTTTTTACTCTTCTTGAACACCCATGATTCAAACTCTCCGTACAGAATTCTCTCGGTAGACTGAAAAATCTGCTTCACTTCCGTCTACAGATCAAGACAACGATTAAACTTTTCTTAAGCAAAAAATTATTTTCTTCTTAAAAAAAGGACTTTACTTTGTTCGGGCGACATCCGAAGACAACAGTCATCGCTATTTTATACTCTCGTTTGCTCAAAGATCCCCTTCCATCAACGTCGGCATAGTTAAAGGCCTGAAATCAAATTTCAAATCACCAAAATTTCGGATATTACAACTATTACCGCGATCGAATCTCCATCTTACAATGCTCGCGCGATCCTTGATGCCGTTTGGCTTCATCTCGGCCTTCCCGAATGGATCCGGCTAGAATGAAACTTTCTTGAACGATTTCCATATTAAGCAATTTGATGAAAGCGAGGTGTTGCCTGCAGTCGCGTAATAGCGTAATAAGAGGCAGAAGGTATCGGTCTTTCACGCGAGGAGCTCGGCCGACACGCATTATATTGTAATTAAAGCGGTGTCTCTCCTTTCAGGCTGTGGTATTTTGTAATATTCATCGCGGGGCCAATTAACGCCGCCGTGGGACACGTACACGCGTGCTTCTGCGGCTGTGTGCGCCCGATGACATAACGCGTCTGCTATATCCGGCATTCAACGGACGTTTTCGCGGCCTCTGTTACCGTTCTTCGTCGCTGAAAACTAATGAGCTGTAACCCCGGCTGATTTTACTTCCTGGTTTTTAATTACCCGCCATTTAAATCCGTTTATTCCTTTTTTTCTGTTCCACGCATATACGTATATCGTAATGGGGACGATATTATTTTTCACGCGCATCCGCTCGATGAAACAGGCTAATACGACGACAGGCCAGTACGATTATTTATATGGCGTTAATGATGTACGTTTCGCACGATCGTCCGTCGTACGTTCTCACCGCGATATCGACGACAGTTTAAACAAAACATATACCTCGCAGATGTTGTGTTTATTTCTTAACGACGATTTCATACGAGGCTAAACGTTTCTACGTGTGACAGAATTCTGATAAAATCTGTACGGTTGAACGATCGTATCGATTCGGAGAGTTCCTTCGAGACAAACTGAACTATGACCAACGATAGATGCTCTTTTGTCAAAGGTACCGCGTTTCAATAACGCAGTTTCCTTGTCTGCAATCCGTTCGAGTTTCGTGCCCCTTTGGAAGCAACGAATTAAGTAATTTTCATAATTCTTCGTCTCTCCGCGATTCTCAGGGCGACGCGCCGTCACAGATGGGAATCTAGCGTGGCGGCAGGAGCTCTGTTTTTTTTTTTTTTTTGCTCTTTATAGAC